CAGTAGGCCTAGAACTCCACCCACATTGACTGGTGTCAAAGTTAGGGATAATCATATCAGCCTGGATAGCTCCGGGGAGCCGTAGGGCCTCCCCCCAGAAAATAGCATATAATAGCCATGATTACTGGATTTGTATGCCTGCTTCTGGCACCAAATGTATGAAAGAACATACATAACTCTCCTCACATCAATAATAAACCATACAAGCTCTTTATACATATTAACAAAAGCATGCAGCAACATATCAAGTAATTGAAGTACAGTATTGAATATTACTAATGTACTGCTACCTGAATGATTCACTTCATGAGCAATAATTCTAATTAATACCACAACAGACTGAAACCATGAATCTGGCAGGAGTAATTTATTTAAGACGACATAGTTATGATCTAGGGAAATCACTGGGTCATAACAGGCCTCAAGGTTATACAGTATTTAATATCCTCATGACAGTCTTTATATTTCCTCTCCCCAGTCGCAACATGGTACGGGAGAATGACTCTGCAGATGCTGGCATTTGATTATACTGTACATTTTTGTTGACCCAAACTGGGATCTCACCGGCAATCAACTGCCTCTTTAAGAGCTGTAATGATGCATGCACCAGCCAGGGTGGCTTAAAAGTACAGTATCATAGGAAAGTCAATAAGGTTCCTATGTGTAAATCATCAGGGAGGGTAAGTTCACCATATCAGACATCAAAACACTTAATCCATGCAATGGAGCCAAACAGATTATGGAACACAGACATGTATGAAGGAATCACAAGTGTTTGAATGTGATTATTGTGCTGTGATCCCCCATTAAGGAGGGGCAGATAAAATGTGCAATTATCACAACTAAAGATGAAGCCACTCCAGGTGATGAGGAAGTCACCACTGGAGACTTAATGCTCAACCCTGCCAAGGAAGTGGGACTGCATCTTACACTCTCTCACAGTGGTATAAAGACCTCTTACTCTCTCTCTCACCCCAGCCTGGACACCTAGTCAATCAACCTTCAAGGGTGAGCCCTCACGGGCAACCCCAACTTTGGTCCAGGGAGTCGTACATGAGCCTCCTCACTACATGGGAAGACCTTTGAGGTAAGTACAAACATTGAACATGACATGCAATGAAAATTCCCAATGACAAATTTATAAATATATTATGTCACTGAAATTGTAGAGGAGTGTATTTCCAGTAATATTTCCTTCCAGGTTTGATATTGCATAATTTTCTTCAAACATACAACAATATGATTTAAAAATATTTTGTAACTTTAATGCTCATCATGAAGCTTTGTGACTTACTGTGCTAGTTAATAATGCATTTCTTCAGTAAAAGAAATAAATTACATCCAATTTCTTTTTGTTGAATTTTGTGTTTAGTAATTTAATAAAGAGCATAGGCCTACCTATTGAACACTGCAACAATATTTTACCAACTACTAGATGTTAGAATATTAAATTGTAAATTTTGTTATGCCAGATAATAATAATTAAAACTTAAAAATGCTGTAATGTCTAGCTTATATTTTTATTCATTTTAATGTTAATTTTAATTTTTTCAATTGCCTTTATGTGTGGGAGAGAATTTTTGTTAGTGCGATGTAGAGCAGCTTTCCCGCACATTTGTGTAGCCTCTCTCTGCCACAAAGAAGAGCTGCTTCTGGTCGAAGAAGGTGGTGGTGTATATTTACTGCATGGTGAGGAATCAACCTCACTATTGCACGCTGTTTAACTCAGAGTAAACATTACTGAGCAAGTAATAAATATAATATTTTGTGTGTTTCTCCTCTCGTGTGTCTTAAAATACATGTAATGCAAGAGTTAGATGGTTTTTCTAAATACCTCAATTCAAAATAGTTATGAGTAATTCATTTCAATTCCTTCTTGTATTTGTTTAAGGGTCATTTATCTTTAAAGCATTCCCTCCTATAAATTACATATTCAATGCACGTTACCTTTCCTTTACATTGCTAATTAAATATTTCAAATGGTAAATACTAGCTAATACAAAGAAGCAATGAAGCTAGGTGGGGATTTACAAGTGCAAGTGACCTCTTCCCCTTCTTTTAGGTATGCAAATGAGCCACCAAATAAGAAACCTGCTGTGGGACAACTGCAAATCCAAGACTAAGGTAAAGTCAGTTAAATCCAAAACTAGTGCAAGTGTGCACATGGAGAAAGCAAAAGATTTCCAAAGGAAATCTAACATTAGCGTTCGTATACTGACATATTGCCAATGAACTTTCTAAATCAACACAGTACAGTATAGTATTATGCATTTGAAAATTTGCATAGGAGTATATTAAACAAAAATTTATACCAAATTTAGTGCAGAAGAGACAAACTTATACTGGCAACAATTGTAAATATACATGTACACTCACATCATTGAAAGTCATGTTACTTCTGGGAACAAAGAAAAATAAAAAAAGGCATAGCGTGCTGTGCTGTGCCAATGCAGCTAGCACATACAAATACAAATTACTAGTTCAAGTATTGGTAAAACCTTAATACAATGGCTTTACAAAGGACCAAGTCTGTGTCTGTCATTTATAATAATCAAAGGAATGCACAGTATATCTTAGAGATTAGAATAAAGCTCATTTTTAACCCCTAGATGAAGGATTATTTCAGAAGTGCTGACCTGCCAGACAATAGCAAAGTGGTGTTATTTTTTGGCAATAGATCATCACATCTACACAAGGACTAGCGAATCAGTGACAATATCTTTGTTATGTACTTGCCCCTAAATATTGCTTTGTTGACGAAACCAATAGATACATGTAAAGTGTGTAATAACTGCAGAAATGTGTCCCTACTGTAAAAAAACATGAGTAATAGTGGTATAGATGTTTATAGTTATTTGCGGGGAATTCCAAGTGTTTTCGAACATGTTAACTATTTTAACATTCTTCAAAAAGTGACTCACAAGTCAACTACAGCCATGTACCCATTTGCTGCTAGGTGAACACATGAAGGGGCCAGAGAGAGACTTTCCGATGACAAAACAAAGAGAGTATCTCTGAAGAGGATGAGAGGAACAAATATTTTCAAGGAAAGCATGGAAGAGGTTAACAAACCAAATTTCTTTTAAAGTGTTAATGGAGTCCACAACTGACTTTTGTACTCGTAAAATTATAATTTTATTACAATTACCATATACACATGCATATTCAGCATTAAAAGGCTAGTGTTACCAAAATAAATATTAAAATAAATTCGCTAAATAACTAAGTTATGCTTGAAATGCTGGACATAAAATACATTAATAAAATACATAGAAGCTTTATATAAAATACAATTTGTGTACCAGCTGAATAACCACCTTAACATGTTACTTTAAATATCTTATAAATTATCATTATTAATACACTAAGTGTTTTTCAAGGCTACTAAATAACCTTACATTGAAGGATTTAGTCTTCCCGTTTGAAATAACCCGAGGACTTAAGCATCTTAACACTTTCGCGCTTTAGATTAGAGATAACTCGTCACCGTTTTCTCTTACGATTCCGCATAACAGCCGACTTTTCTCGTCCATCGAAAAAATATTTCTATAAATTCCATTTTTTAACCGAAATGGATGGGGATACTTTTGTTTTGTAGGGAATTTATTTGCGAATGTTTTGGTACCAGAATGAATATTATATCACATAAACCTCTATGAGTAAAAAAAAAAATACACAAAGTATGTTTGGGGGTGTGGCAAGCGTGTGGCAGTGGGTTCCCTTTAGCCGTTGATATATCCAACGCGTGGGAAATATTTGTATGTGTTATGTATATGTCTGTGTAGGGAATTTTACTGCGATCACTGTCATACAAATTATAAAATGTTTCAACAAGTATAAACATGACAAACATCAAACGAACGAAAACAATGCGTTCGTTTCTGCCGCGAACGCATACTGAGCGACGTGGTTCTATATTTGGCGCTTCTCTTACACATGCTTTGTACAAATGTTATACAGTTCATCTTATAGAAAATTTTATTGCGAACACATTGGTATAAAAAAGAAATACGTACATAGAAAAGTAGGGTCAGGAAATGTATAAACTTTCCAAGCATGATTTTCCCCCTGTGTTTTCGCCAGTGCGCTCGCGGCTAACTACTCTCCACTTCACACACTCTTGCGGGTGGGCAATTACCTATATTAAACATTCATATGCATATGTCCGTGTAGAGAATTTTATTGTGATTCCAATGATATCAAAATTAGCGATGTAGGACAACTGTAGGCTTCGCAACCATTAAGAGAGTGGAAACATTTTGTTGCTGTTTGGCGCTCTCGGCGAGTGATCTGCATAGTTTTTTATTTGGTGTTGATACTCCTTATGCTTGGGCGGCATTTTATAGGTATGCACTTATAGACAATTTCATTGCGAACACAGTGATACCAAATTTAAATACGTGCGCCTTCAATTATTGTCAGAACAGTCAAAAGAGTGTACACTTTTCGGTCTTACCGCATAGGCTCGCGAAGTGCCGAAAGCATCTGGGGTATTGTTTTTTTTTTGAGCGCCGAGAGCGCGACCACCACCTCACTCAACACCATCATACTCATCTAGACATCATTCCAAGATCGCAGGTAAAGCAAAATCTCACTTGAATGCTTTCAGTTCCAAAGTTGTCAGACCAAGTTGGTTCTCTGATCATGCACATAACAGTGTATTGATATCACAAATCATGCACATAAAATTATAATACTGACATCTCAGGTCTAATCACATAACAGCAACCTAATATCTCACACCATACAGCTAACAGTATAGAGCACTAACATATCTGATAAAGCACATAACAGCATATCATATTAACATCCCTGATCATGAACTTGTCAAAACACTAACACCTGTAATAATCAAGATGAGAGTAGACATTAATATTAGATGAGGAATCATCCTTACAGACAAAATGTCATCTACTATTAAAATCTACTCTCCTCTCTGTGTCCTTACACTGTTATCAGCACTTTGTGCACTTTGATCATGCAAATAAAAGCATACTAACATCTCCGATCATGACAGCTTCTGAAGCACTGCATCCCAGCTCCTCCAAAGCTGAATGAAAGAAAGCCGCTTCAGGTTTACCAACGGCTTCCGACTTACAACCTGTCGAGAAAAACCAAGCATTGAATAAAATGAAATGCCTCTTCCTGTTCCAGTAAAGCTGTGTTGTTGAGATTGCTCCATGATAATGGGGTCCAGCCTGTCCTCTTAAACAAAGGCCAAAGTCCATTCCATACAACCGCCAAATCCTCTGTTTATGAATGAAAAATAGTTTACACATGACTCACAACTGATGACATTCAAACATTCCTCAAACAGTGCTTTGCTTACAATGTCTGTTCTAAACCTCAACTCTGTAAATACTTCACCTTCATACTACAAATACAAGTAAATGCCAACAGAACCTAAACACCTAACCTAACCAGTGCCTAAATATGAACAGTAGGCTAATATATAACAATATTAATTTATATTTGAGAAAATTCCTATTTTAAATGAACAGGATGTTAAAATTTATGAATGCGTCTTTGGGTCGACTGCTGGATGGATTGAACATGGTATGAAGACGAGTTGAATGGGGTCACATCAGTCATGGAAGTTCTGTTTGACCTATTCAGAACCAAAGCCAGTATCTGGTGTCCCTTCAGAGATGCACAGGGAGCGAGTGATAATTTGCCTCCTCCAACTGGAAAAGCTTCCATAAAGTCAGCAATGCTTTATATCCAACTGGAGGATTCACAGAAAATATAGCCTCAAAACCACCGAACAACTCACATGCAACAAGGAAATCATTCAAACACTTTGAAACTCATTAGTACTGTACGGATTGCCACCACCAGTTGGCCCAACCACCTGCCCTCAGCCAGCCCACCATCTCAGTTCTGGAGTAGATGAACAACTCGCCAACAAACCATCGAACCTGGAAGGGGAGGGAGGGAATCAGGGGCCACTGGGGATCTGCCAGTGTTTTTTTTACATTCGACACTGGGTTTTTGAGCAAGATCCCACAGTGAAACTAACTATTCATAGAGGAAAAAACAGAACTTACCAGGGAGAGAAAAAAGTTAACAAGCACTAGGATGAAGAAGAGAATGAAGACTTACCAAGAGAGAGAGCCAACACACAAGACTTACTAGGAACCAGAACATTAACTGAATATCAGTCTACCAGAATCCTGTTAAAATACAAAAAACCCAAGCCTGAATATCAGCCCAAGATATGTTGGAGAAGACCGCAGCTACAGCCACGTATTTGCAAACATCATGGGCCCAAGGGTTGACCATAAACTGACTAGACTTAATAATTATATTGCAGATGACTTGGGAAATGTAAGCCTTGGAACACAAGACCAAGGAAACAAGGCCAACCAACTAGGCCCACACGTAGTAGCGAAGAGCAGACACTGGGCACACCAAAATGATGCACCCCTGGCCAAACCAACCAAGTATCAGTCACCAAAGACCCCTCTGTAAGCCTGCCAACTCATTCTTCACCAGAAAAGTTTAAGGGGTGCAAATGAATAAACCGCTCACCTCTCCAACCCTCGGCTGGAAGCGCAAGTCAACAAAAGACATAGCCTTGAGAAAGATATTGTAAACTGCCCAAAACTCTATGCGTGTTAGTAGCTTTGCAAAAAAATACAAGAAAACTGATATTATGTACTTTCACAACTCATTGTACCTTCTTGTATATAAATAAATAAATAAATAAATAAATAAATAAATAAATAAATAAATAAATAAATAAATAAATAAATAAATAAATAAATAAATAAATTCAAATTCAAATGTTTATTTAGGTAAAATACATACATACAAGGGGTGATACAAAAATTGATGAATTTATAGATAGAGCTAGTACATACAATGCCTAAAGCCACTATTACGCAAAGCGTTTCGGGCAGGAAAAACACTAAAGACTAAAACTTAATACTAATTGAGATTAAAGTTTAATATGTGTTGAGAAAATATAAAAATAAAAAAGGGGGAACATGGCAGAAAAAAAGCAAAAAACCAGCGCTGAATGTAATGAAACGCCATTTTCTGGGTGAGTCCCGGAGGCTCCCCGGAGCTATACCGGGCTGATATGCTAATGTCAGACTTTGGTATCAGTCATGTGTATGGAGTTCTTATGGCTTACCGGGGACCACGGCCAGAACCGGGCCCCCTCAGAGAGGCAAGGGGAGCAATGGCCTATAGAAGCCCCCGTGTAGTTGGAAGCATTCTATGTCTGCCATCGACCGGAACAGGCACCCAGAAAGGTAAGCGCCCCAAAACAAACCCCTATTCTGGTTAAAATTGCTACCTAATACCGAACTAGTGGATAGAACTCCCCAACCGAAAACAAGCAAATTAGTGTGACGTCACACACTGCCGCGCCGCTGTCTGCGCAGCTCCCCCCTCCCCGGGAGGGGGAAGGGGGAGCCCCAGACCCCCCGCGCCGGCTACCCACACCTCAGTTCTTGAGGCTGGATGTCAAAAACGCAAAAAACCGCCGACCGGAGGGAGGGAGGGATGCCGGGGAGCCTCCGGGAATTCACCCAAAAAATGGCGTTTCATTACATTCAACGCTGGTTTTCTGGGGGGAGCCCCGTCGGCTCCCCGGAGCTAACTACCCACAGACAGAAAAAGAGGGACTTACCCGGGAGGCGGTCGTCGCTCACCCCTCAACTCGAAGCCGAGACAACTGGCTGCAACCGCCGACCCAAAGCAACACAGGCCCGACGAGGGCCAGGGACATTCACAAGGTAACGAGCAGCCAGGACCCTGTTCGACCGCCAAAATCCCCGCGCCCGAATATCAGACCAAGACATATTCCCAAAGACGGCAGCAAGAGCCGCAAACTTACGAACGTCATGGGCACGGGGATAGACCGCAGGCTGGCTAGACCTAATAACCCTGCGGACGACCTGAGAGACCCGAACCCGCGAACAGGGAAGAAGGGAAACCGGATCAACCCACAGCGCGTCCCCGGACACAGAAGCTGTGGCGCGCAAATAACGGCGAAGCGCCGCAACCGGACACAAAACATGATGCACCCCCGGCCTGACCAACCAAGCATCAACCACCCATGGACCCCTCCGGAACGCAGCAGTCTCATTCTTCGCCAGAAAAGAAGGAGACGGCTGCAAACGAACAAAACTATCACCACGACCAAAAGAGCAGAAACCCCTGCGCCGGAGGAGAGCATGAAGCTTCCCTACCCGACCCCCAGAGGCCAAAGCCAACAAGAAAAGTGCCTTGGAAAAACAATCCTGGACCGAAGGGGCCACAACGAAACGAGGAGATGAAAGGAAAGCGAGCACTCTGTCCAAAGACCAGGACGGCTCAGGCGACGCATGAGCAGGCCGGAGGTGAAACAATGCACGAGACAGCTTGCGAAACGGCGCAGACGTAACATCGATACCGAAAGCAAGCTGAAGCGGCTCCGCCAGCGCCGCACGATACGAAGCGACAGTGTTAGGCATAAGATGACGGTCCTGAAACAACCACGAGAGGAAGGACAAGACCACCCGAACAGACAAGGAGCTAACACGACGAAGACGCAAAAAGAAACGGAAGGACCGCCAGGAAACTTCATACTGCCGCCGAGAAGAAGCCCTCAGGTGGGACACCAACAAGGAGGCCACCTGATCACCATAGAGATGATGATAGACTCGAGTCAAAAAAACCATACGCGAAGACTCGAGGAGAAGATCGAACCAGCCACGTGACGTACCGGCCCGATCTGCTGAAAGAGGCGGAGCCGCGGGAAAACCCTCGGGTTCGGACACCGAGCAACCAGCGCCTGAAACCAAGGCTGGGCCGGCCACCAAGGGGCCAGAAGGACAACTCTCCCCTGGCAAGTCTCTAAGCGAGTCAGGACCTGGAGCAACAGCCGAACCGGGGGAAAGAGGTACAGGAACCCCCACCTCGACCAGTCGAGCCGAAAGGCATCGACCCCGACGGCCTCGCAATCGGGGAAGGGCGCCGCATAAACGGGAAGACGCCGCGACCACGCCGACGCGAAGAGGTCCACCTCGGGGCGCCCGAACGTCTGGCAAAGCCAACGGAAGGACTCGTCGTCGACCGTCCACTCCGTGGAGAGGGGAACGAAGCGAGACAGGGCGTCGGCCAAGACGTTGGACACGCCCCGTACGTGAACCGCCAGGAGAGCCAAACCCCGAGAACTCAGCAGACGAGTCACCCGAAGCGACCAACCCCAAAGAGACAAGGACCGCATCGAACCCCCGCGGTTCAGGCAATGAACCACCGGAGAGCAGTCCGAATGGAGCCGAATCGTCGATCCGCGGGCCACCCGAATCCTCCCCAGAGCAAACCACACTGCCGCGAACTCCCGCACCGTACTGTGAGCTCGACGGAAGGACGGATCCCAACGCCCCTGGCCGGCCTGGTGAGCACTGGTCACAAAACCCCAGCCGAGAGACGACGCATCCGTGTACACATCGAGCGAGGGCTCGGGTAGGCGCCAAGGCACTGAACCCCGAAAAACCCGAAGAGGAAGCCGGTGACGCAGCAACCGACGCAAGTCCCCCGGTGGTCGAACTCTGCGATCGCGAGAGAGGCGGAAGGGGGAACCCCGAAGGAACCAGAACAGCCGTCGAAGCCAAACCCGACCCGGCAGGTAGACCACCATCGCGAAGTTCAGGCTCCCGCACAGCCCCTCGAGCAACCGCCGGGTGACCCGAGGGCCCTCCAGAAACAGACGAAGGCGGGACCGCAGCCGCAGGAGAGACTCCGGAGGGAGAGACAAGGAGGCGGTCCGAGAGTCCCACACGAGACCCAGCCAAGTCCGAACCTGCGAGGGAACCAGATGGGACTTCCTCCAGTTCACCAAGAACCCGAACCCGGCGAGCTGGGAAAGAACCAAATCCCTGGCTAGCAAGCAAGCTGACTGGCTGGGAGCCCAAACCAGCCAGTCGTCGAGGTAGGCCAACACCCGAACACCTAGGAGACGCAAACGAGCCACCACAACCCGTGTAAGGCGTGTGAACACGCGAGGTGCCAGGTTCAACCCGAACGGGAGACAACGAAAACGGTAACTCAGATGCCCCACTACAAAACCGAGCCAGTCCCTGAACCGCGGATGAATCGGGACATGCC